TCAGGAATAATTCAAGCTAATAATGTTTAAATTTCAAAGTGCAATATATGCCTGAAATTTGATTATGAAAAACTATGTAAACCACAGTGTCTCGATACAGAATTAAAATTAAATTAAAATTATACTTTTTTACTTTGATAATATATTTAATATTTCAATCAGTTTTATGACTTTAGATTTCACAATTTGAAAATTACATTAGACAATGAGATATCATTCAACAAGGGTGACAGCAGGGGGAAAAAAGACACTGATAAACGTTGGGTGAACCAAGGAATAAGACAAACTGATAGAATATGAAGGCCCTAGGAAGTAAACAAGGCCAAAAGCTTGTCAAAGTTGAATCAATGTGAAGAAGCACTGGTCTAGATATCTCACCAAAATACAAGATCCAAATAGTCCAAATTTCGACCTCCTTATTGTCACTGTCTTCTAATTTATTTCTAGTATTGTATAGCTATTATTTTTCATTACTGAAATATACGGCACCCAATGTGTAAAGAAAAATGTAATTATTTTCAGACACTCTAACCTCAAAACAGCTTTCAGTTCCCCAGTCAAAACTTCATGCCTATTAACTTTATTATTTTATTATTTTTTTATTAGTGAATCACTGTGAGGTGCAGTTATAGACTTACAAATTCTCGTGCTTGTGTTTCAGTCATACAATGGTCGAGTGTCCATCCCTCCACCAGTGCCCATTTTCCACCACCAATGGTTCCAGCATCCCTCCCACCACTTCCACGACCTGTCTCTTCCACCCCGCCCTGCCTCTGTGGCAGGGCATTCCCTTTTGCTCTCTCTCTCCTTTTGGGTATTGTGGTTTGCAGTTGGGCTGGAGCGATAGCACAGCAGGTAGGGTAGGGAGTTTGCCTTGCACGTAGCCAGCGGCCAACCCAGACGACCTGAGTTGGATTCCTCCGGCCCCTCTCAGAGAGCCCGGCAAGCTACCAAGAGTATCTCGCCTGCAGGGCAAAGCCTGGCAGGCTACCCCTGAGATAATTCGATATGCCAAACATAGTAACAAGTGGCCCTCTTACTGGGCCCACTCGAGCAAATCGATGAACAATGGGAGAACAGTGACAGTGACAGTGGTTTGCAGTAGAGGTATTAAGATTAAACTTATTTTAACTTTTAATTTTTAAGATGCCTCATTAGACTCCTTCAAATTAAAAATTCCACTTCATATCTAATTTTATATTTGAATGTTAATTTTCTTTAAGAATAGCTTCCAGCATTGTATATGCTTAGGATTCTGCAAAATCTACATTTCCCCTGCATGATTTAGAAGGAAAAATACAGATAAAAGTGTACAAATGCTATTTTTATGCAAAAAAGAAAAGAATACAAAGAAAATAAGTCCATCATTTTGTAAGTTTCACCTGTTATCATCAGTTTGAACTCTCTGAGCTCTCACTTTCCTGGAAGGAGAAGTGTTAAGAAGTTTCAGTGCATTACATAATACTTGATATCAGAAAGGAGAGAATTTTCAAAAACAAAAACAAAAACATTCATTAATACTGAAATCTAAGAAATGTATTATTCATGGACTGTTTTCTAGAGCACAAGATCATGCTATTACTTAAGTACTATGAGTTCTTTCTATTCTCACTACAATGGAAAATGTGAAAGCAAGTAATATGTTTGTCCAGATGTACATTGGATAGCTCTTCTGTATCAGGCATTGTTCTGGACAGATGTTAGAGATACAGAAAGTAATGAGACATGGCACTTATGACCTCAAAACCGTCAGGTAAATACAATCATTGTGTGAGGGTGGGGAAATACTCTGTAAGGTGCTTCTGGCTCTGCACTCAATAATTACTTCTGGCAGTGCTTGGGATACCATATGGATTGCTTGGGATCAAACCCAGGTTGGCCATGTGCAAGGCAAGAGCTTTACCTGGTAGGCTATCAGTCTGACTCCTACAATCATTTTTTAAAATCATTTGATCAGTTTTCCATAGAGGCCTTTACAAACAGGTATATGAAGCCCCAAAGAGCGAGCAGCTAATTCACATCCTGGAGTTGGAGAAGGAAATGAAGAAATACTTTCTTTTTCCTTTGTTGGTTTGGGGCACATCCTGCTATGCTCAGTGATTACTCTCAGGTCTATGCTCAGAGTCACTCGTGGCAGTGCTAAACAGACCATATTGGATGCCAGAGATTGAATCCGTGTTGGTAACATGCAAGGCAAATGTCCTACCAGCTATACTATCTCTCTGGCCCCAGAACTACTTTCTGAGCTGAATTTTTAAAGTTAAAATACTCTTTACAGAAGAGATGCCACTTTAGAAAGAAAACCACCAGTATATGCCTGGACAATTCCTGAGCAGAATCTAACTTTAATTCCTCTACCTTATGAACTCTGCCACTGCTGTAAGAGCCTCTCACATTCATTGGTTCATTCCTTTAAGAGCCCATAAAAACTCACCTTTCATGAAATGAATCGTAGCAATCCTGTTTTATTTACTTAAACATTTGGAAGATTTCTCATGAGTTACTTGTATCTCATGACTTACTGGTACTCTTTCATGAATGCAACAGTTATCTTAAGCTCGTCAGTGTCTGCTGATAATAAAAATAATATTATAATCCACAATAAGAAACATTGAAAAATAGTTTTTGAAGATATTCAATTTGGCATCTTTTGTTGTTCAGGCATTTTCAACGTCAGCATTTTTTATTCTAAGGAGTAGTTCTAAAATCTTTTCTGAGCAACAGCCATTTTACAGCAATGGAATAGAAAGTGATTCACCTGGCAGCACCTCAAGAAATTGTAAGCCACCAAATGAGGAAGAACCTGTATTTTAAACATTCCAATATTCAGTAATAGAAAATATCTTTGGGAGAAAAATAGGATTTCATAATGGCCTCACTTGGCAAGGTTTGTATAGATGGAATGAACATTTCTCCCCTACACTGGCATTCCCACAGGAATGGAAACATTTCTGCATCTTTCTAAAGTGTTCAGCTGCAAATACTGCATCAAACTGCTTTTGTGGTCTTGCTTTGTGTTGTGTCTGGCCAAACACCCTAAGAACTTTGCCTTACATTATATATGGCCCTCTAACTCTGTGTAGGTTTGAAAACACATGAAAAGTCTCTCCCTGCCATCCAAACTTCCACTCTTTTTGAAGGATTACAAAAAAAGCAAGCAGTTCCTTGCTATGGAGCAGAATTTTTCAATCATGGAGGAATTTGAAGCTTCTGCAATTGATACTGAAATTATGATACTGCCATCATACCTCACCCAACAGGGGATTTGTAGATGAAAAAAAGAAAAGATTCAGTACCAAGCCGCTGTCACACTGTGGCAAAGAGTGCCTACTGAAGTATGGGTCAGGAGGAATTGAGCAGTCTTTTGCAGAGACTACTTCAGCTTGAAATTCTCTCCACAGGATAGAGTTAAAATACTGAAATAGATATTTAGGTTTCAGTTTTGGTTGATAGGTGATTAATAATTTAACTGAAACACTGTAAACTCTATGAGTGTGGTCAAGAAGTAGATTTAATAAAATGGTCTTAAATTAATCTTGAATATAGATAATCATTGAAAAAATATTTCAGTCCTTCTAGGATTAATATATATATGTATATATAATCTTTAATTCTTCCATCTCTACTTCCCCTAAGAAATAGGAAAATAGTTTTTTAGTTTTAACAACTACAAAGCTAGAAATCTCAGAGTAGATACAATAATTAGTTAAAATAAACAAAGGGAGGACAGTTGTTCAAAGACAAAAAAAATAGAAATTTAGCTATTCCTATATTTATGACCTGTTAGCACACTTCAGAGATGTGGAGTGCAAGTCTGAACAGTTCATTAATGACTATCACTTATTGACTGTACCATGTAGCAGACATTTTTATAGAGTAGTCTATTCAATTTTCACTTCTATGATCTTTTTATTATGAATGCCTTTCAGAAGTGGAAACAGGAGGGAGGTGACTAGGAAAATTGCTTGTAGTCACCCAGTCACCCAACTGGATTCACTCCCACCTGTGGTCCCATCTCATGGTCTCATTCTCACACCATCTGAGTTTAGCAGATTCTGTTTAAATTTCTGACTTCCACCAACAGTACTATTGTGGTGTTATTTACTTGGTTAACAGCAATACCAGTCATAATGAAAAGGTATATAGCATATCTAACCTACCAAACACTGCTGTGAGTGATTTGTATATATCAGTTTATTTAACACAAAGAACAACTCTGAGAAGTAGAGCACTGAGTCAGTATAAACCCAAGGTTACTTGATAAGCGTCAGTAAGAGACCAGCTTTGAACTCAGACAGCATAGCTCTTCTACCTCTTGTCTTGACTAGAAGTTTTCTTCTGGATACAAAAATACTCATGCCTATATTTATCCCAAGTCCAGTTCCACTCTGAAGTGGTTCTACCACCTCCACTTGTAAATTAAAGTGGAAGCTGAAAAATCAATGAAAGCTATGATCAATATGAACAACCTAATATATTCTTGAATTATTCTGCTCAATTAATTTCTTATTATAGAGCTTAATCCACATATCTGACAAATTAAAGATGAATGAAAATGATGGTTATGTGAAATTAATCAAATAAAGTGTCAAATTACTTTCAGCAGCTAATACAAGCATCTCACAACAGATTCTAATGGTCTGTTTCATAGATGGAAATACTCACACAGGTCCATCTGGTCCATGTTCGGTTTTTCAGTACCCAGGAAACATAAGTCTAACTCAATATCTGTTTTGAACCATATAAAATGTTCATTGACCCTTTTAGGCAAGCACAAAATATTTGATGTCATGAAGCAGTCTTGGAGCCTTAATTTCACAAGATGATAAGCCCAGGAGCTCTAGAATGAAAGCACATTGTGTCTCAATGAATAAATGTATTTTTCTGTATTTAGATACTAATATAAAATTGTCAGGTATACATTTATGATATTTTATGCTAAAATGTTATATACTAATCAATGTCTAACAGACTTTTTATTGTTTTTTTTTTCTTTCCAGGTATTCCCAGTATTTCCAGTATTGGTAGTAAGTAAAAACATCACCAAACCAAGTTTAGGCTAGCTTTGGTTTGTGCTCAGCTCCTCAGATCTATTTTCCCAGTGTCCATTTCTGATGTGCGAGAGTAGGTTTTTCTGAACTGAATTGTTGTTTACGTTCTCTGCATTAATATGGTGACAAGGGAAGTAGAATAGTTATCTCTATATACCTCCTCTGTGGATGTGGAAATGCCTCAGATTTTCTACTTTTGATCACTGAAGCCACTTTTACAGAGATGGAATCAATTCCTTGGATAATTGCAGCTCCTTTAGAAAAAATAGAAACTTTTTTTTTAACCTATACTCAGTAACTAAAGAACAAATTGAACTTTTGGAACATTCTTCCTAAGAGTATGGAGTTCTACCATAGTTTAGAAAAGTAGAGAGCTAAACTGTGGAGTTCAACCATAGTTTAATAAAGCAGAGAACAAGTGCCAAGGAATGCTAGAGACATAGCCATTGGAACACAAGCTAAACTCCATGGATGTGAGTTTGGGAGGGGAAAGAATTTCATCAAACCATTAAGTTCTAGTCCTTGTGAAGGCCTGAGAGCTGCAGGTATATGATCATTAGTTTTTTTGAGAAATGAATTTTTAAAATATTTTCTCCCAAAATACAATGACCTATGTTTGCAATGAATATTTATGCATAAGTTTAATAAATAAGGGGTATGAAAATGCATGCAGAAGTTGTAAGTAGGAAGAGCTGTAAGTTCCCTCTTTACCTATTTATAAAACACGTCCCCATTTTTCAGCTGTTATGTAAGTGACAAGGTTATAGGACCTTCTTCACATGTAAAATAAAGGTACTCCATTACCAAACAGTAATGCTCAGAAAGAAAATACCTGTGACTTTGCAGAACAGAACTTTGTATATTTCTACATATTGCATCATTTCTCTTTGATGTCTATAATCTTTGAACAACTGCTAAGCAATTGATTAGAAATAAGTCCGCCAAGATTTATCAATTATGTGTGGAATCCTTTTGACTGCGGTCTTACTCCTCCTAGACCCTGTCCCTTGTGCTGTGACATGACTTTATAAACAGCATTTGAATCATTGTGATACTAGCATCCATCTAAAAGGCAATACTCTGATAATTTCGGTTAAACAACTTCCCACTTCTTATAAATGCACAGTCAGGTTTTCCAATTTATAAATCAACTCAGTTTACATAAACTCGTGAATAAACCCAGACACGAATTTGCTAAGCACTAGAAATGTTAAATGCCATGAAAATCAGTTTCTCTGTAAATAGAAACAGTGTTCATATCCATTTAGATCCCAGCCTAATGTTACAGCATTCTTTTCTGATCTCGTTGAAACAGTATCAGTGCTCAAACTTGCAAATGAAAACCTGCAGCTCTAAGAGTTTAATTTTTCTGCTTTAGTATCTCCCAGGGCATTTGCCCAGATGTATATACCCCACGAGGTGCTCCTTTCAGGCCTTGGCAATCACATTTGCACGCATAGTTTTGCACAAAGAGGGAGCAAGCAGCAGCAAGCTGAGGCAGATCCTTGCTGCTATAGCGATCTAGCCTGTCAAATGTTTCAGAAATGGATGGATGGAAAGTAGTTCTTTGGTGCTGGCGCGTGTTTCTGTTTGGAGTGTCAGTCGTGTGTTGCATGGACTCTCTGATTGTACTGCCCACTCGTCATCTCATTCGACCACATCCACCACATTCCCCATCTCTGAGCATCAGCAGATGTTGACCTTTTACGCAACAAATCGGGAAATTCCAGTTTTGTTTCACTTTGTTTAATTTTGAAATCAGTGGTGACCTGAAAGTATGCTTTGTCGTGCCTTTGGAAAGTCTATTCACTTTATTATCAAGAATCTAGGAAAATTTAATTCCATAAACCTAACCCAAACCTTCTGAAATTAAAGTAATGATTTGAACCCTGCCGTCACTGTCTCTGGCTGTTCTGCTTGGAGTTAGTGGGTATTTCCTCATCTTCTCCGGCAAACAGGTTATAAGAACTGTCAGGCATCACCCAACATCACATGTGACGAGGTCAAGAGATTTATGATAAAACCATCATACGTGATTCTGTCTTCTAAGCTAACATTAAAGGCATTCACTCATTCTTTTTCTGTGGCCTGAAAAAGTGGTCATTTAGCACATTGGTGGATTCCTTTCCTATACAAAGGGCAAGAATTCATGAATAGATGATTCATTGCTTGCTTTAGGGGGTAGAAATAGCCTTGCCAAGGTACATGCCAAAAAAGGGATAACTGCTTGTATTTTTAACTAAGTTTGTGTATTTGCCAGGGTGTTTTCCCTTTATGCAAAGATGGAATCAATAAACATAATTCTACCAAGTCTATAAAAATATGCCATTATAGCAGATGTAGCACCCATGAGACTCCTATCAAGGCATCTCTCAAGGACAATGAATGATGCATGTTATGTAAATTATTTATGCATGTAATCACAAACTCACATACATATATTATGTACCCAGTGACTAAAGGTTTTGGAGTCCTAATATAGTTTAATCAGATATTAAACTGTCAAACCCTCTATTAGAGTTCAAAAACATGAACAGAATAATCATCCTTTCTGATCATCTGCTAAAAATTGTTTTAGAAACAAATCTCCCATTTTGATCATTTGTCCATGCTGCTGTTTATCTGATATGAATTAGGTTTCCCAATTGTCCCAAAGATATTTGATTTAAACTTGGTCACTTTGATTTGCTTGGGCCTTAGGCTTATAAAATGCTAATGATATTTCCAGCAATTAGTAAATTCTAAAATAGATCTATAGCACTGTAGCACTGTAGCACTGTCCTCTCATTGTTCATCGATTTGCTTGGACGAGCCCAGTAATGTCTACTCGTGACATATTCGATATGCCAAACACAGTCACAATAAGTCTCACAATGGAAATGTTACTGGGTCCGCTCAAGATCTAGAGACATTTAAAACTTAAGATCTCTGGCTTTACTTTACCTGGCATGTTAGAAATTCACTCAGGTTTCATTATTTTAAATAAGTATATCATACACTTATAAATAAACATTCAAAATTTTGTCTAAGGAAACATTTTTATGCTAATGGTCCAACTAAGTAGTTGGTCTGGGGTAAGTGTTTCTCAACGTGATAAACCAGTCATTACCTTCTGACATAAATTATTTGATCCTTAGTCCAGAAAAGCAAGTGATTTCACTGGCTATGGTAAACAGTGTATTATAAAGAACATAATTAGAAAAAAATTGATCCGATGTATAAATAGTTTTGTGTGCAGGATTACTGATCAAAGAAAGCAAATAACATGAGCCAAAGGTTAAAAGCAGACTATTCACTGATTTAAAAGGCCACACCAAGAAATACTATTTCAAAAAAGAACTTGACATTTTTTAAATAAATAAATATGCTTCTTAGAGGAGCAACGAAAGAGATGAAACATTTGTGAAGTTAACTATGTTTTATCTTTAAAAACACATTCAAAAGACTGTCTTTCACATTCTTAAGACTGATGTATGTAAAGCATAGAATATTGATGGAGGCATTTGTCTCCTCCTCTCCAGCTTATCCGACTTGGAATCATAGTTCACCTATGGGAAATATTCCATTTTTCTGTTTTCTCTCATAATGAGCATTATCTTCATCACAGAGTTAAAAACTCATCTCTAATTTGATTTAATTGGCAGAACTATTAAACAAGGCAGTGCTGCCTGCAGGGATCCATCAGCCTGTTGAGAAAGCCCAGAGATGTTTTCATACTTGAAAATATTTGATGCCAGTTGGAGACCTTATAAAAGTTGTTTTCCATACAGCATCCAAATATTTTTGTTCAGTACCAATGTATTGTAGAAACCTGGTTCGTGAGGAAAATAACAAGGTTAATCATTTTCCTACCCAAGGGTTATTAGTAATCGTGTTCATGCTATCCAGAGAGCTGCAGTGTTTGTTTGTTTTTTTCCCTCTGCTTTAATACTCCTAAATCCTCCAAATAAAAGTTTGATTTGAATTGCCCTTTAACTAATTAGATTTTATATAATGAGGGGGGAAATGATCAGGCTAGTGTAGCTATATGGCAATTGCATGGTGTACTACATTAATTTTGAATTGTTTGCTGATGTTCTAGAAGGAAAGCTAAGGTCCCAGGTGAAATACCTTGGGGACTTTGTTATATCATGTACCCAGTATCCTCATCACAGATTCATTTCATATCCGTGTAACTAACATTTCACATTCATAAAACCTTTGTGGTTATCCTGAAATTGAATGAACATTAGGATATAGATACTTCTTTAATTCTGAAGAATATGTCTAATATTCCAATAAAGGATGGGGAAATATCCCCTGCTTTTAAAAATCCAATAAGCCTAGCAATAGTTATTAATAATTGCCCAACTTATGTAAATTTACTTTTTTTACATGTAACGTTTCCCCAGGTAAAATTCTAAATTCTTATATGTCAAGCCAGTTTTAAGTGTGAGCTAATATCTATAACCCTTGCTAATTATCGCTTCATGGAGGCATCAGGAAATTCCTCGGTCAAACCAAGATTTGCCAAAATCTCTGATACACCTTCAAATGTGTACTTGAACTCTCACACTGAGTAAAATTTCAAAGTCTTCTTTGAGTGTGATTTGAGAACTGGCTAACTAGCTGCTGCACTTGTCAAGAAAAGTTAAACCAAACTTTTGCTTAGGATTGTAGGTCAATGTTCTCACACTTCTACAGAACTTACAAATTGTCAATCTGAGACTCAGAGTGACTGACTAACTTTCCTAATACAATTCTACCAGGAAGCCCTGACTAAAGACTGCACAAACTAAGTAGAAAAGGATAGAAAAGGAAAAGGTTATTATTTCTTGACTTTGACAATAGCCTCTTTCCAGTCCACTACTATGTACTTTAGACCTCCTTGTTCCTGGATTTCTATCTCCTAGAGGGGGAAAAATGCTCATCTTCTGACACATACTGACATTGCCAACAAGTTAGAACTTGTTGTCTGAGAAGGGAGGGAGGACTGG